TATGTTATTTATCGAATATGATACTGCCATACAATGTATCTATTCCTGTTAAATTAAACCAGTAATCCATATTTCCAACAAGTTTTTTTTACTTTTAAAAAATTTTATTAACATCTACACCCGTTTAAAACAATGTAATTTATTCAATTATTAGAGTGTTATACAAAGTTTAATCAAATCAAACCAATTCAATGTGGTGTAGACAATAATCCAACGACTTAAGCCTCACAAAACCATAATTAAAAAGTTTATTTTGCTGGTTAGCAACCAGAAAGGAAATTTAATCACTTGATTGGCTCAGTTAGTGGGTCAAAGTTTAAACACACAATACAGCCCCACACACTTTGATATTTAATTTTGGAAGAAAAAACAAAAACAAGTTTTACATCAGTCTCTTGTGATAACACACAAATCTTCTAATGGGACTATCATAAAAGTTGTGGAAAAAATTATAAAAAATATTAATGCTAAATATCAGTGTTGCCTGATATAAAACTGACTTGACACCAGAAAACTATGGAACTTGACATGCTACACTAATTATTTCTTTGATCCAAATTACTGCTGAGTTTTAAGTCACTTTGAGAATAAAAACATGTCTTAGTTCTACTGGTCAAGATCTGCATTTGATGAAGTACATCAGATTTGTCCTTGCTGTCATGCTGATAGGATGGTGGTCTCCTAGGTTTCTCTTCAGTTGATGAATCTGGAAATATGTTACAATATTTTTTCTGAAGATATCCATCGTTTTAATTCATCAATATGTTTCTAAATAAAGATTATCATTACACTGTTAAAAAAAAAAAATAATAAAATTAACCCAACTGCAGGAATCATTAGTAAATTAGTAAGAAAACATGCATCTTTTTCATATTGCCCAATGCAAATCCTGATATATGTCTTTAACTGTTTTGATAAATAAATAAATAAATAAATAAATAAATCTCACAAGAAGCAGTTTTACCTTAGCTGTCAGCTGTGGTACCATATGGTCTGGAGTTTGTTTGTTACCCTAATCTCCATGACAACAGGTCCAGATGATCTTCTGCAAACACATGATCAAATATGGCGTCCATGGCCTCCGTAACCAGCCACAATGTCTGGTCCTTGGTTACTACTTCCACAAAAAATGAGCCCAAATTCTGAACGAAAAAAAACAACTCAACATCAAACCTGGCAAATATTCAAACACCAAACAGCAACCAAAATTTCAACAACATCAGCAAAGGAGTTTTAAAATTTTTAAAAAGAATTAAAGTGTTCTCTTTAACAACAGGTAAAAGAAGTTAATGTTTTTTTTTTTTTAACTCTTCACAAGCTCTGTTGATTTTATGATCATCAGTGCACGCCTACATGTCAGAAAGCTTCCAATATTTTAAGTTGGGGTACCTTGTAGGTGTGTTTCCATCTCTGTCTTAACAGTGTGGTGGTTCACTGATATTACAGCTAGTTTCAACAAAAAGTGTTTCCCTGGCCTATTGGTGCACTCACCTGAAAGACAAAACTTAACAGGGTCATGAGCTGAGAGGGATAAATTTTGTTTGAAACAGAAAAGCTGGCAAAAATGCAGTCACCAAGCAGTAAAAAAAATTCCACATGCCCACACACCAAAAAAGTCTATTCTTGCTCCTTTTTGAAAGTAACACGCCTTGGTGGAGTTCATGAATAAAGTTTTAACCCTCATCCACAAGGAAATGGAACCCTACGTAAACCCTGAAACCGGGCCTCAGAGGTCCAGTGTACCATGTAAATCTGACTCCCCCCAAAAAAACATTCAAAAATCTAATTTAATTTGAGTAAATGACTATGATATTGTAGTATGCATTATGGAGGACACATTGGCACTTTTTGTTAGTTTGCAGGTGAAAATTTTCATGAAAAAATAAAGAAAAATTAAAGATTTGTATTTTACCACCCAAGGACTCCCCTATGAAAAAGCTATTTATTTGACATTTGATGACAATTTCAACATCTTTTCTGAGAGGATACTTTATGAGGAATATATTGAAAGTACTTGAAAGTTTAATGGTTAAAAAATTGGGTGAAAAAAAAATAATAATAATAAAAACACATTAAAAAATAAGAAAAATTAAAGATTTGTATTCTAACACCCAATGACTCCCCTATGAAAAGGCTATCTATTTGATATTTGATGATCACTCTGACATCTTTTCTTTGAGGATACTTTATGAGGAATATATTGAAAGAACTTGAAAGTTTGATGGTTAAAAAATTGGGTGAAAAAAATAATAAAAAAACACATGAAAAATAAGAAAAATTAAAGATTTGTATTCTAACACCCAATGACTCCCCTATGAAAAGGCTATCTATTTGATATTTGATGATCATTCTGACATCTTTTATTTAAGGATACTTAATGAAGAATATATTGGAAATATTTGAAAGTTTGAATGGTAAAATACTGGGTATGCTATATAAGAAGAATTCAGTAAAAAGGCGATGGGGCCAATTTCCCCCCCCCCCCCTCCCGAGTTAAAAATGTAGCATTTTGACATGGAAGTGCAAAACCTACAGGTAGTAAGATGAATACTTGTTTTAAAAATATTCACCAAAATTTTCACCACCAAACTTTCAAATAATAACAAAAAGTACATCTCTGTGCAAACTATGTAGAAAAACAATGGTATGGTGACTGAATATAAAATAGGTCCTTTTCTTTATGGGAATCCAAATCTCATGGGTATAAAAATGAAGATTTTCATGATTTATTTTTCATTCTTTCACTCACTATTTAATCATCAAACTTTTAAATATTTCCAATATATTTTTCATAAAGTATCCTAATAGAAAAGATGTCAGAATGATCATCAAATATCAAATAAATAGCTTTTTCATAGGGGAGTTATTGGGTGATAAAATGCACATTTTTAATTTTCTATTTTTCATGTTTTTTTTTTATTTTTTCACCCAAAAGTTTACCATCAAACTTTCAAATATTTCCAATATAATCTTCATAAAGTAAATTTAAAGGAAAGATGTAGAAATGATCATCCAATATCAAATAAATAGCTTTTTCAAAGGGGAGACAATGGGCGGTTAAGTGCACATTTTTAATTTTCATATTTTTTTCATGAAAATATTCACCTGCAAACTTAAAAAAAAAGTGCCAAAGTATCCTCCATTTTACATACTACAATATCACAGTCATATACTCAAATAAAATAAGATTTATGAACATTTGTGGTGGGGGAGTCAAATTTTCATGGGGAGTCAGATTTTCATTATGAAAATCTGACTGGGGGAGTCAGATTTTCATGTTACACCAGTCCCTTGCTCCCTTTACCTCCACCTGGGTGCATGAGTATACACTGTGTATGGAAAATGCAGAAAAACTTTTTTTTTCTCAAAATGGAAAGTTTCGCAAAGGTAGCGCAGTCTATCAGGTATGTAATAATGATAGATTTAAACTGATATCTGCATATCAGGTGACCATGCAAGGTGACCGATTACTCATAAATAATAATTTCTCCAGGTCTTGAATCTTTCACAGGCAGATTTCATTGACCATACTGATAGTCATAGCACACATGATATTGCTTGTGTAAAACATTTTATAGCAAAGCTATTTGAGGTAACATGGACTTATTTATCCCATGTGGAAGTAAAATTATCAAGCAACCGGGCCTCAGAGGCCCGGTTTCCAGGAAATGGGACTAACTTTTGGAAAAGTTAATTTCTACATATGTTGTAAATTATTTCAAAACTAATTATTCATCCATTGATGGGGTATAAGTTGCTTGAGGATTACATGAAAGGAACAGGCTCAAAACCTCATGCTAATGAAGAGAGAGCAAAAGATACATGGGTCCGGGCCTGCGAGGCCCCTGAAAGGTGATTGAGGGTTAATACCTATAACTGAACTAAAATTTTTATAAATGTCATGTCTTGAACAGGCCCAGTAGCCAGGGCCTGGGGGTGTGTGGGGTCCCTTTTTTCAGGGAAAATGTTCCTTCTGGGTAAAATTTTATCTACGTACACGAAGATTGCATATGAAAAGGTAAGTTTTTCAGAAAAAGAACCCACTTTTGAAACTGCTGGCTGCTGAAGGGTTTCATTAATTGAATTAATTGAATGATTCATCACATCATCTACAGAACCAGCCTGACATGTGTGACAAATACAAACTACCTGATAAAATCACTTCTTGTCTTTTAACTAGCTAGATATGAGCTTGATGGTGTCATGGTACATGTTTACCAATGCTTAGTGAAGTAATAACAGATAATTATATGCAGTGGGTTGTGCAGATAACATCTTTAAATTATGGCACCTGAAGTATTGGAGAGAAATCACTTCAACCAATCAGATATGTCCACTGTAACCAGCAGTTAACATCATCCAATAGAATGACTGGATTCAAGATTTTAAACAGGAGGTTCCTAATACAACTTTATGCATTGCTCAGTACAAAAACTGGGTGCATTGGTCATGTAAACAACAAATTCATACAGAATCCAAATGGATATTCTTATGGTGCTCTGAGAGTTGAATTGTGAACACAATTACAGTATTAGAAAGGACATATCAAGCTTCGATAAGTCTTAGCACCTTATCCAAGTGACTGGCTCACAGTGAAATGTAAGACAGCAGTGTACATAACAATGGCAGGAAAAGGAATGACAAACCAAAAATAGGAAATCATTTGAAAAGTAGCCTTGGAATCAGGACTCAATGTAACTTGTGACAAGAATCTTTTGGCAATTAATCATCTCATGAAATTCAAGAAAATAATTATACTGGAGAGAAACCTTACAAGTGTAGAGTCTGTGACATGACTTTTAATACCACCAATTAATTTCTTACAACATTCAGTAAAAATGTGCAAAGGAGAGAAACCTTACAAGTGTAGATTCTGTGACAAGACTTTTACTCAAAAAGGCCATTGCACAGTGCATGAAAGAATTCATACCGGAGAAAAACTTAACAAGTGTAGATTCTGTGACAAAACTTTTATAGACAAAACTTTTTGCATACGTCATGAAAGAATTCACACAGGAGAGAAACCTTACAAGTGTAGATTCTGTGACAAAACTTTTACTCAAAAAGGCAATTGCACTTTGCATGAAAGAATTCATACCGGAGAGAAACCTTACAAGTGTAGATTCTGTGATAAAACTTTTAGAGACAAAAGTAATTGCAGTGCGCATGAAAGGATTCACACAGGAGAAAAATCTTACAAGTGTAGATTCTGTGAGGTAACTTTTACACATAAAAATTCTTGCATATATCATGAAAAAATTCACACAGGAGATAGACCTTACAAGTGTAGATTCTGTGACAAAACTTTTAAAGACAAAACTTCCTGCATATATCATGAAAGAATTCACACAGGAGAGAGGCCTTACAAGTGTAGATTCTGTGATAAAATTTTTAATGACAAAAAATCTATCATCTATCATGAAAGAATTCACACAGGAGATAGACCTTACAAATGCAGATTCTGTGACAAAACGTATAGAGACAAAAAGACTTGCAGAGAGCATGAAAGAATTCACACAGGAGAGAAACCTTACAAGTGTAGATTCTGTGCGGAAACTTTTACACGAAAAAAATCTTGCAAACGTCATGAAAAAAATCACATCATGAACACAGATGAAATAAGTCACATGGAAGATAAACGGACAAATAATAATGCCATAACCCATCATATATATGAGAAAGAAAGAACAGAATACAATCATAAAGATGACACTTTTACCACAGAGAATATCACCATCATTACTGACAATGATGTCTATGAAATACTTACTGGCATAAAAAGGACCACACCAGGTGTCATCACAACAATTATAAAAAATCCTTTCCACAGCTCTCAATGATATGTTCAGATGACAGAAACAGAAAAGACACTATCACCTTATAACTTTGCTATTTTTGCACATCTTAAAAACAATCAAATGTAACTGCTTCAATTTTTATCAATAATTATCATTTTTATACTGTGTAGGTTCCAACCATTACCTTCCATGATCAGACACAACATCTATGATAGATCATATATAATAAAAGAACTGTACTTAGTCAAATACATGATATTCCTAGACTAGAAAATCCCTCTCTCCTATCTTTATTGTTGAAATCAGAAAGAGAAATAGAGGTGTTTCATTTTCATGTAATTTATGTGTTTACTAGATGAAAACAATTTAGATTATTTTATTTTTTTATATATCCAATGACTTAGCGACAGAATAAACAGTAAAAAAAGAAACATCGTTTTGTTCACTTAAGAAAATATCAAACTCCAAATGGATATTTGATTAAACCACGACACATATTACAGGCTTTAAAGAAACATTCGATGCCAGCTAGGCAAGTGAGATGTTGAAAAAGCTTAAAATCTCAAAAAAAAAAAAAAAGAAAAAAAAAAGAAAAAAAAAAAAGAAAGAAAAAAAAAANGCCATGTCTTCGGTTGACTCAACACGAGAAATTGACACAAAATTTGTTCATGATATGGGCCCCACGAAAACAGATGCTCCAGTTCACATTATTCAACATATCATTGCCACCTCAGAGCCTGATGTTTTCACCATTCTTCCCTCTGTGGAAAAAGAACAATTATCCCAATTGGCCCAAATGCAACGACAATGTGATGACTTCAAACATATCATTGCATATTTGCTAAATGGCACTCTCCCAGATGACGCCAAATTGGCGAGAAAGACAATTTACGAATCTGATCAATACATTATGGATAAGGACCTCCTTTTTCATATTTATCAACCTCGTTCTAGAACGTCCGGCACAGAACGAAATATCATACGCCAATTAGCGGTGCCCACTCAATACAGAGATGACGTTTTACAAGCCTACCATGATAGCCTAGCATCTGGCGCTCACTTTGCGTTTGACAGAAGTTATCAGTTGATCAGAAACAGATTCTATTGGCCCCGCATGTATACTGAAATACTTCAGTATGTTAAAACATGCGATTCATGTCAAAAAGCGAAACGTCACCATGGCCAGAGACCCGCTCCTCTTCAGCCACTCCCAATAACAGGTGTATGGGACAGACTTCACATGGACATATTAGTTATGCCCAAATCACGTGAAGGTTACAAGTACATTCTTTTACTTGTTTGTTCCTTTTCGGCTTGGCCTGAAGCTTTTCCATTAAAGACCCAGACAGCAGAGGAAGTAGCTCGAATTCTTTACTCTGAGATTTTTTGTAGATATGGAGCACCCAAGGTCATAGTCACTGACCGCGGACGTAATTTTACGTCCCTGCTGGTACAGACATTAAGTGAGTTATTTCATGTCAAAAGGGCGTTAACAAGCAGTTTTCACCCTGCCAGCAACAGTGCTGTAGAGAGACAGAATTCCGCGCTAGCCCAATCAATTAGAATATATTGCAATCAAAATCAAGACGATTGGCCACACATTCTCCCAGGGGTACTCATGGCATTACGTGCTACACCTGCAACCCAATCTACTGAATTTTCACCTTTCTATTTGATGTACGGAAAAGAAATGAATACTCCGTTGGAGTCACTTTTAAAACCTCCAGATTCCTTACCGAAATCAGTAGAAGACTATATAGAAAATATTCAGAAAAACTTGGAGTTAGCACGTCAAATTGCCCATGACAACAGAACGCAAGCGCAACAGAAATATACGCGCTTATATGATCGCACGGCAGCCCCTCCCGCCTTTCACATAGGTGACAGAGTCTTACTAAAATGGTCACGTGTCAAGAAGGGCCGAAGCCCTAAACTGACGGCTAAATTTGTAGGTCCTTACTATATTACAGATCGTGTCTCTAGTTACACATTCAAGTTACGCGACTGTAGCACAAACAAACTTCACCCGTCACCTGTACATGCGAACAGACTGAAATTGTATCACGACCCTGAAGACCGTCCGCTTAGACCACAAGCTCCTTTACCAGAGCCTGTTCACGACGAAAATGAATTACCACAAAACGATTCGAACCCCCCTGAAGCTCAAAACGTTACACCCCCTACTGAGCAACAACAAATTGTCCCAGATCCAGATGAATGGTTTGAGGTCGAGAAACTTCTCAAATGCAAACCCATTAGAGGTGTTAAGCATTATTTGGTGAAATGGAAAGGCGATTACCCTCCATCATGGGAACCTCATTCCAACGTTTCTCAAGCTTTGATACGGGAATTTCATGTTAACAAAACGCTTCAAGGCAAACCACGTAAAAGATGAATTCATTCGAAATAATTACTATTCATAAAGTCGGCGTCACGTGTTCCCATTGATTACACGTCTACGATATATTCTAGTATGTTTCACCAAGAAATTTCTATCGTATCAACCCAGATATTCAGTATCAATGTTTTATATACTGACACGTACGGACACCCAATGTCATTTGTACGACATCGAAATCCACACACATAATAAAATTAAGATTCGACAGCGCTTATCAATTATGTCAATCATCGTGCATATGTTATGACCGGTCATACAATACTACGCGAAGTAACCGATTGCAATAACCATCTCATCAGGGTACCTCCTTTCTTTACTTTAAACTCTTTTTCTCTCTTCAACAGATGAGATGGATATATGCAACGGCAATGCTTCGACATATGCGACATTCAAGGAATTAATGAAGTCACTACGACTTTTGTCCGTGGTGCTAGTCATCGGCATGATCACAGTCAGCCAGACTACTGCACTCAACCTCGACAATGACGTCATCCATAGAGTCAACTATGGCACAGTATTTACTCCTATTGGTAAAATCTTGCCAAATGTGGAATATTGGTCTCATACTTATGAATTAGTAATACCCGACTTTAGCGTTAAAAACCACCCAATTCATCTTTGTAGATCTGGAGAAGTTTGTAATTTATATCGTTCAGGTTTAAAGACGGCTAGAAGCATCCGAAGCGACATTATGAAGTCAATGCATGATATGTCTCAAGTAATCGACCCTCTACTTTCAAATTTAAATGTG